CCCAACGGAAGTGGTGCGTGGTGCGCGAAAATGGAAGCTCAGTCTCAGAGAAGAGATCGTTGGCACTCTGGATTGGTGTGATGGTGGCTCTTTCGTTTCAAAATTGGCACCACGACTGCGAGATGGAGTGCAGCATCTTGACGAGACATGAAAGTGGCCCTTTGTTGCCTCGAAGGGAAGTACGAGGAAATGTGAATCTGCACATATGCTGGACAAGAAGATGTGAAATGCACTTGAAACAAGGAACTTGGGAAGCCAGGGGGGGAGAGGGGGGGGGAGGGCGGGGCGCAGGGCGCTTGTGCTAGTCGAATCGCATTTGCCACGAATTTGTGCTGATGAGGGCGCATCAAGTTTCGGCTGGACCCAGTGCTGTTCGACTGGGCCTCACGGAAGTGGAAAGCGTTACCCATATATGGGAAGGGCACTGTCGCGTGGAGGAAAATGCCCTCTGTTTGTTCTAATGTTTGGTTTTGCCTCTTTTATTCTGTGGTATTCTGTGTTGTTCATTTTTACTGCGTTTATCTGTTTGGAAGTCATGCAAGGTTGCTGTTGACCATGGTTTTGAAGCATTGGACACTAGGAAAAAGAAGTGCCAAATACACGTGTTCAAACGTGGATAAAGTGTACGGGTTTGGGTTACTTTTGTGTTCTTGGCCTGCAGAACTTCGATGAAATGTGTTTTATGTGTGTTAGCAAAAGCGTTATTTGGTCCTTTTTTCGCTAGTGGGAGTTGCGCGACGTGCAGTGTCATAGAAGAGCCACAATGGCGGGCGACTGGTTGCGAATGGTGGTCTGAGACAGATTGGCCACTTTGTTAGCTGTGAGCGTATCGCTGCTGGCAAGTGGCCAGGAGAATATGGAATAATCGTAGTGTGTATACAGACACGCTGCCCAGTACTCTTATGTACTGTACTGCATCTTACTCTGCCGTCTTCCACCGCGCTGTACTACAATGTACAATGCCATGCGGTAATGTACTGGCGCGCACTGCTGGCTTCCGCGACTGTCTATGACCAGCTCATCACACCCTGCATTAATGCACTGATTGAAACCAATATCGGTTCGGCATCCAAGCGGTGTCGCTGTGTGTTTTCGGGAAGCGAAGCCTCGCCAATGCCAACTGCTCGCACTGACAGCGTTCCCTAAATCACAAAAAATGTAGAAAAGTTCGCACCACAGCAGGGCCACAGCTCCAACGGGAGTCTGCTGGAACATCAGTAATGGCGCTGACACTGTAATGTACTGTGCAAAATATGGAATTGAACGGCCCGCATCTTGCGCCTCCCTCCAGGCCGAGGACACCATGGAGCCCGAGTCGCGCATGGTCCACGACGAGCTGTCAGTGAACGAGCTGATGTCCACCGAGATGGTCTGCCTGCCGGCTGTCATCAAGGTCCGCGAGCTGGCGACGGCCCTGCGGACCTTCTCCCACGGGGGCTACCCCGTCAGTTCTGAAGCGGAGGTGCCAGTGGCGGCAGCGACCAGCCCGATGCGCATCGACGGGCTCATCGCGCGGCCCCTATTGCTCAGGTTGCTGCAGCGGCGCCTGGGATTCATTAAAAAGGTGCGTGACCGTGCGCTCAGGCAAGGGCGTGTCGTATTGTGTGACTTCGGTGAAATATTGGCCGGCATCCTGTCTTGCGCGAGCCACGCGTGGTGCATTCGAAGTTGTCTCATCGATTGCCTTGATCACTTCCGTGTCCCTGCGCCAGCAGGCCACAAGTAGTCGAGACTGCTGCTGTTGAATTAGCCCACTGCGTTCACCTGTCTTCAGTCAGAAAGAGGACTCTTATTTGCGTGCATGTGCTGTAAATTTCGGAGTACATCCGCCCAGCAAGGGGCGACGAAACTGGGACTGCCAGCAGAGCGCTCTGCACTTGCGTCTGCCAAAAGACAACTGGATTGCGCCACTCGTTGCGGCGCAAAACACATATCTATGTTGCAATAGAATGTACTACAAGTAGTATTATACTGAATACAATACAACAATGCATACATGCTGCATCAACGGCAGATCATTCTTGCCCGATAGGCCTCACATCGTCTTTTCCTAACTGCCTAAGTGTCTCCAGGGACTTTTGGCTCAAGTTTGTGCTACTCATCGACATGTCTATTCATTTCAAAGCAGAAGACCAGGTACACGCTCACATGTCTCGTGTTGGAAAATTAATATACTAACATCATACATTAATATATATTTATGTCATATTAGTGTTGTATATTATGAAAGATACGGTGTCTGCCACCTCCGCTGCAGGGCCAGGAAGGGGGCAGCTTCCCCCTGCCCAGGACAGAGAAGGGTGTCCTGGACGTCCTTGACACAATCGAGCCCTACCCCATGCGCATAAACCCTAGATCGGAGCAGGAGGCCATCCTGGCTGCCCTGAGCGAAGTGGACCTGGAGACGGACATCGACCTGCGGCCGTTCATGCAGCGACAGCCGTTCCTTGTCAACGAGGACGCAAGGTGAGCAGTTGTGGAACTGGCGCCGGAGGCGTTGTGGTGACGAGAATTGCTGCACTGCAACGCAGCTCACATTGCCGATGCTATGTGGAGGAGCAATTTCACACCAAGTATGCACACATGTGCACGTGCGGGTGTAAATCGCTTCAGTGCTCCACATTTGCATACAACAGTGTATATATGCACTGTTGCATTTAAGTACGGAAAGTAAATGGTGTACAACGGCTGGCTTTTCCTCAAGTGTTCAAGCACGCGCAGTCGGTCTGGCAACCTTGGATTTTGCCGCAGCCTTGGCGCGACGTGCTTCCATCTAGCCCTCCATCACTAGCGTCCTTGCTACCACCGCTGTTTGGCAATGGTGAGAATGCGGCGACGCTTCGCCGTGGCCCGCGCAGGCGCAAATTTCGCCTTTGCTTGCCGCTCTCTTCTCATAATCACCGCGCAGGTCATCGTTGCATACGAGTGCTCCTTCGGGAAAATTCGATGCTTGCGTGGCATTCGGTCTTCACACAGTAGCGAATTTAGGATATTTGAACTCTGTTAATATTCTGCATACTCTGTGATGGGTGACGCTCTGGCAATCAACACAGTGCGTTTTCAGCTTCGGTCCACGGAACTTACAGAATGCAATTCTTCAACTTCCCTCAATCTGCCCACAAGCACGAGCCACGAAGTGTTTAGAATCCTGTGGTCGCAGTGTGTTGCACCGAACGCAGGCTTTCGTTCCGAGGCAATACGAGCCGCATCTTCCACCTCTTGGGGACGCTTGCCTGTGGTACAAACAACAGTCAATACACCAATTGTGTTGGCAGATAAAAGGGCAAGATACAAGACGCAGCACATGCTAAAGGGAGCATCAGCTCGGCGGAATTGGCGGCGCATAAGCTCTGCTCCTACCAAATGCTCACCGAGACTTCAGCGTGCACTATCAGAAAACACCGCGTTTGTGATGCCAGCTGCGACGCCATTTGGACAGAAACTGGCGCCATCACAGTGATTGCGATGGTACAAAAGTGGCTGTGATTGCATCAACTAGTGTCAAACGGCATCGCAGTTGGCATCGCAAAAATGTCGACTGGTGATGCGCACTGAAATGCTGCACTGGCACTACGACGCGATCCCCGACCTAGCCGCGGGGGTCATTTGAAGTAGCGCATAACCGCCCCCAGACCTGACAGTCGTTGAATGACTAATGGCGCAGCTTGAGCCGCGCCTATCGCCTGTTCCGCACCTTGGGCCTGCGCCACCTCCTGGTGGCGCCCTCCCGCCCCTTGGGGCTGGGCATCCTGACTCGCAAGGACATGATCAAGGAGAACGTGCGGCTGGCGCTGGGCGAGAAGGCCAACAGGGAGGCGGCAAAGGTGACGGCGTCCAGGCGGGGGGAGCGCAGGATCAAGGAAAAGTTCGATGCGGGAGGTGAGTGCGACACGGGGCCTAAAATTAGAAATGCGCGAATTTGACATGCTTTTGGCGAAGTTTTAAATCGAAGTGAAGACGCGCTTTGGCGAATTGAGTTCCTGCATGGGGCCAAAGGCAGTGCCGCCCTTTCTGTGGCGCAATGTGTGCGAAGAACGTCTATCACAATTGTAAGTGCTTGTATGGTGCACAGCGTGCAAAATATGCCATGCGCTAATGTGGCCATGATTGTTTTCATGATACTGGATGCACAATATGTGCAATCTTGTGGAGAAGATTCAGCGCCGTGTCGCTGTGTGCATTGCATAATTTGCCAAAACTAGGGCGGCTTTGACGGTGGCCCCTTTGGCTACCTGTTCCTGCCTCGGTGTCGAGTATGCTGATTGGGGAAAAGCAACATATTACGGGTATCGGAGGGATGGTAGTCCACGCCGTGCACACCGAACAAGAAGCGTCCAGTGCACATCCTGGATGTGCCAAAACTACCGAGGCCGACGAGATCGAAGCGAATGTTCTAGCATAATACAGGGGCACAATGCGCCACTACAAAAAGCGATAATGCGAATTGTTGGTGTCCATAGTCTGTGAGTCAATGTGCGTGTTCCGTTCACACTTTGGATGGTCTGCGCGCTTCGGCGATGCGAATTTCGGTTTCAAAGTTGTGTGAGGGATGTAAGCCTTAGATGCATGACTTAGGGCTTTCCAAATCAAGTTGCGAACCTCCGCGACGACACGCGCGTTGCCGAGCAGACACCGATGTTGAAGTGCACAAAGTTTGGCCGCATGTGAGGGCTTTAGCCCACCATGTCTGGCCGCTGGTATCCTGAAATATTACAAAGGTTAAAAGCAGGGTTTCATCTGGGAATATTTTATTCCTATGGATGGAGGCTTTAGTGCGCTGGAGAAGCGCTGTTGCTTAGTCTCTGGCCGCATGCCCAAATCGGCATCGCTTCCAACAGCAGCATAATGCATTTTTGCCTGTGGACAGTTTCGGTGCCAACAGATCTGTTTGGTCAAGTTTGTGATCAATACGACGCCTATCAACTCGCACACGACCCGACTCACCTGAGCACTGACCTCTGTCTCACCATCAACTATTTGATTGATGGATGGGCTGGCGAAGCATTCCACAGATTGATTGGTTGATTGGCCCATTGGTTGATGAACCGATCTACCCATGCCCGTTGCTGGCAGGTGCGAGGACTTTAGTGGAGTTCATGCCAGCATTCGACACTGCAGCGGAGCAAGGCACGGCAATGGCGTCAGCCGTGCCACGTCAGCTGATCCGGCGATCCGTGGTTCCCCGCGCAACCCGTCAGGAAACGGAAGCCAGAGAAGCCATGGAGCAAGGGGCCGCCGAATCGGCGGCCGGATCCTCATGAAGGGGCGACCGTCGAGACAGCCCCAAGTCGCCCACCCCTACCCAAAGAAAAACGTCGGCGGGAATGGACGGAGATGACGCGCTCGACTCAGAATTACCACTGTGGCTGAAATGCGCATTAATTAAAATGATCTATCGGACATCTTGCAGGCAGCAGCGCCCATGCCCAGTGATTGTCAGTACTGCTTGCGCATCGTGCTGACGCACGGTGGGCAGGCGGCACCTGAATTGGAGGCTCATCCAGCAGGCCAAGCCCTGCGTCTGCCAAGATCAATCTATCAGGCACAAGGGCTTCTGGGCTGCTGCTTTGGAATTGGCGGCATGGTCACGTGCGGTCCACATTTTTGGTCTCTGGGGGTATCCAGAAGCGTTTCCATGTACAATATGGTTGAGTGACGATTGCGTTTCTGCCTCTGGCGCTGTCTGCGCTTTGCGTTCCTTATCTAGGATCTGTTCCAGCCCGGCGGGATGTCCGCTGCCTGTGAGGGTGCTTGTCGTGTTTGGCGGTTGGGACAGTGCCCCGCGAACTCGCCAGGCTGCTGAGAAAGTTCCTGTCTGTAATGTCAGGTTTGGCTGAATGGGCCTGAGAATAAATGGACGTTGCGTTGCATCTTTGTGTGGTCAGAGTCCTCGCTGGTGCCGTGTGTGGGAAACGCCGCTGTTTTTTGACATGGGAGTGGACGCAATTGGGCTGTTTGGGGGCATTGCAGGCGAGGTTTGCCGCTGCTGGTCTACGAAGGATGAGCGATATATCTGGCGTACGGCCTGTCTCGCTGCCTTTTTTGCAAAAGTTTCAGTACTAAAGCGTCGAGGGAGAGCGCGCACAGTTGAAATTTTGTCTGTGAATGCTTTGTAAGATGTGCGGTTCATGCCTTGCATGATTACTGTGCAGACAAGTGCTGCTGTTGAGAATGGATGTTCGTTTATTCCGCCCCCCTCACACGTTCAGTACATTACAAATAGAGTGTTATGTCACAGCTGAAGGCCAATTGAAAATAGTACATTTACTCGCTGCTCATACTTATTGGATGCATACTTGGATCCCCAAAATTCAGTTCCGTTGATAAGAGAGCTGACGCGGGATGTGGAAAAAGATGCGTCCAAAAAAATGCGTGCGCTCCCGCCACCCAATGCCCTGGACCTTGGCGCCAGGGGACCAGCAGCGCGCCCGAGCCGTCAGTCCCGCACGCCTGAGCAGGAGCACCGGCGCTCACCAGCCCAAGACCTCACCCCACCCCGCCGCTGATCTCCGAAGGCGAGTTCTGGATTGACCGCGCGCGGCGGAGGGGGGATCGCAGGATCGGGGATCGGGGCCGCGCGGGCATTGTCGTCAGAAAACGATCTGGGGCAGAGGCGTCGAGTTGGCGCAGCGATCGGATCCGACCTGTCGGTGGAACTTCCCCAGAGTCCCTTTAAAATCGCAGGCGGAGGGCCGTGAGACTGCCGAGAGTTTGCATCCGATTCGCGGTGACGCTTCGGACGAGTGGCCCCGCCAAACGACGTCCGGCGCCCCGGGGGTTGCGCACGCTTGCCCGGGCCGTCGGGCCATCCGCTGACGCTATTGTCTCCCTCTACCATTTTCGCAGGAAGGATGTTCACCCCGGGGCATTGGGAGCAGGTAGGTTGGCCGGTCGGCCCCGCGACCTTGCTCGCCGTTGCTCAAAGAAAATCGAGTATTCGAGTCGCGCTTAGAAGCACTGCATTACCTTCCGCGATCGCCGTGCGGGGCTGGGGAGCTTACAAGAGCCTGGTTCACCGCCTATTTGGCGCGTCTTCTGTCCGTCTGGCGATCCCCCGTGAGCGGGGGATGGCGGATCAGGCGCCGCTTCGCACCCCCATCCATGGCGTGCCCAGTTGCGACCACCTGGCCCCAGCGCCACAACACAAGCTCTTGTCTGCCCCTTGCAGGGCGTCTACCGGACATCTCGTGGCAGGGCCGTGAGGGCGCCGGAGCGCTTCGGCGTGATGGCGTACGTCGGGAACTTCCAGCCGCTGGCGGTGGGCGGGCCTTACATGCCCAGCCCGGAGGAGCTCCACCACGCGGCTCAGACGCCCATGGCGGCCCCGGCAATCGCACCTGCCCAGGCGCCTCCCGCCCTCCCGCCCGCCCCCGTCCTCGCGCCTCCCCCCGCCCCCTTCATGCAGGGCAACAGGGTGGTGCTCGGGGACCTGCCCCTGGTGAGTCCCCCGCCCGTTCGATGGCCATCGTCGCCGCGCCACAATCCAGTGATATCAGCACTCATCTCTGGTTGTGCACTGGTCGCAGAGCGTCGGCCCTCGGGGCAATCCCAGCCAGGGCACCTGCCCTGGCTGGGAGAACCAAGGCTTCAACTGGGCAAACACCAGCTGGGGCAACACCAGCTGGGGCGGGTGAGCAGCTGGCTGGGCCCCCCGGCGATGGGGCCCCCTCCTCCGAGGTGAGGCGGGTCGAGGAGAAGAGCGAGGGGGCGGCGCCCATCGCCATGGCGCCTCATCGCCCGAACATTGCCGTTTCTGTTCCTCGCTGCCATTCCTGTCCCTATCCCTCAAAAGTGTGTCCGTCCACCGTGCCATTGCCGTGTACCTTACGCTGGCCTTGGGGTCCGTCACCACCAAACACAATGGCGCCCATCGCCACAGAATGATCCCACTGGCGGTCTCTCAACCCCCCCCCCCGTGCCCGTCGCAGGACCACCTCATTGATCCATCAGGTCGGAGGAGGAGGTGCCGGGGGGCCGCAAAACACAGGGTCCCGGGCCGGCGACATCTCCGATCGCCGGCCCAAACGCTTCATTCGTCATCGTAGGCGCCAGCCAAGGCGCAGCGTTCCCGTGCCGCCTCAACGGCCGCATCAACGCTCCACCCCCACCAAGCCGGCGCCCACACTGGCCGTTGCACCGACACCGAACACGGCCGTGGGCGCCAAGGCGGTGTGTGGGGGAACATCGTCATCGCGCTGGAGGGATTGGTAGGGGGGGTAGAAAAATACAAAAGAAACAAAAATTGAGGAATTACGACACAGGCGCGCAAGGAAGAGGAGGCCAAGGCTGGGCGGGGCCCAGCGCAAGGACCAGGCGTAGAAGACCCTGGGCAAGAGCGCAACTGCCCTCGGAGCACATGGCTCCCAGGCCCTGGAGACTGTAAGGTCTGTGAGCATCAGAACTCGTGCAGGTGGGTAAGTAAGGAAGCGCCAAAACCATGGTGGGGTCCTCATTAGCCATCAGCAGAGCCTTATTGTGACGATATGTACTCCCTAGATGAAATTTTAGCCATGATAGGTTATTTTGCTGATTTCTTGTTTTGCCTGTGACGATTTTCATTCCAATGGCTGAGGTGGAGGCGCTCTTCATTGCTACAGAATGCACACTGGCGGTGCCTCACGCAGCCCCGGGGGCGCCTGTCTCAGGACCGCCACATCGTCCATCAGGTCGGAGGAGGGCGTGCCTGGGGTTTGCAGGACTCAGGGCCCCGGGCCTTCGATATCTCCTGGAGCCGGCCAAATCTTCATTCGTCATCGTAGGCGCCAGCCAAGGCGCAGCGTTCCTGTGCCGCCTCAACGGCGGCATCAACGCTTCATCCCCACCAAGCCGGCGCCCACATGGGCCGTTGCACCGACACCGAACAGGGCCGTGGGCGCCACGGCGGTGTGTGGGAACCATCGCCACCATGCTGGAGGGATTGGAAAGGAGAGTGCGAAAAATACCAAACAAAACAAAAACGGAGAAAATTTATAAAAGGAACAAAAATTTAGGATTTAGTGTGGACGAAAGGAGGAGGATGAGGCCAGGGCTGGGCTGGTGCGGTGGAAGGACCAGCGGTCCTACGCCAAAGGCAAGAGCGCAACTGCCCTCGGAGCACATGGCTCCCAGGCCCTGGGAACGAGAAGGTCTTTTGGAATCGACCGATTCGATACGTTGCGACGCTCGTACAGGTGAGCAAAGTGCTGAAATCTGTGTGCCTTCTCATATTATACACATGTATGCGTCTTGAATATACATACAAATGGCCCCTAAAAAGAGCCACTGCAGTCGACTCGACATGTTTAGTGGCTGCGCACAGGCTTGGTTTTTTGCGTTTGCGTTTACGTTTTTACTTTTACGATTTTATGCGTAAAAACGTAAATTTGCAAAGGGCCATATTTTATGGCTATTTTTACGTTGGTACGGCTCCCTGGAACACCCAGTTACACGATGAAAGTTGCGTACAATGACCAATCTTCCGCCATCTGCAGCACCGGCAACACAATGTCCATCTCTCCCTTGGCAAGGGCGATGATGGTGCTTAACAAAAACTCGTTTTCTGTCTCTTCCAGGGCGTCTGGATTCCATTCTCGGGACTAAATAAGTCTGTATGTACTGTTCTTATGTATGCTGGGCAGTTTTTACGTTGTATTTACGTATTTTTACGCATTTTCACGCGGAAAAACTTAAAAATTATTTTTAAGCAAAAAAAGTAAATACGATCAGTTTTTACGGCGCGAAAACCAAGCCTGGCTGCGGATGTAGTTCTTTAATCTGCCTGCTCACGGCTCATATCGAAACCGCGTGCGCTATGGACCGGAAAAGAGCAGATATTGAAACAGCAAATGAAGGCACATAGGTCGTGCCACATGCACCGCCTACCCAGCTTTGCTGTTAGGGACTGAATCATGGACAATAAAAGATGAAAGTCTTGGATCAATGTCAATGTTAACCAAATTCCAGCATATTCTGACATAGTTTCCGTTCCAATGGCCCGCTTACTTGCACACGTACTGCTTTCACTGTTTTCTTTGGCAAATACCTCCAGCTGGCAAGAATCAAATTTCCAAACCTTTAAACTTATTGAATCTCGTCAGCGATCGCGCCCGGTCATATTCCAGCGACTTCGGTGCTGTAGTGTCTACAAAACTACCGAGTTTAGTTATTTTTTTGCTGTGTAAATCTTTCCAATATTTCCTATTTACGTCGAGAATAGGACTAAATTTGAGGAGATTGACTGCGGCGGAATCTTTCAAGCCGCATTGTGAGGTGCCAGCAATTG